ACAAGAAGTTTTATACCAAGCAAGTAGCACTAATTAACCTAGCGGGCTTGCAATGCTTGCTTGGAATAAAACTTCTTGTATTTTGAACTAAAATGATAGGCAAGCAGTTCTCACTGGATTACCTGGTAATATACTTCATTTTTGTATTTTTGAATTTTTGCAGGTGCTAATTGATTTTCTGGCGCATTCGAGAGCACTGCTTAGTGCGTTTTACCTGTTAATGTGTCAGCCATCTTGTTTTGCCAGTGTGGGTTATTAAAAATAGACCCGATGCCTCTCGCATAGGGGGGATTGATCTTAGGTGAAAAGGTTACGACCCTCACCTTGCCCTGTCAGGATGACACGAGAAAGCCTTTTTACGTATGGAGTAGTGGTTTGCTGGACTCTGAGAGACTCACAGAGACCGAATTTACAAAATTAACACATTTAATTTATTTACAAAATTGTTAAGAAAGAAATGAACCTGTATGAGTCTTCAAATTCTACTTGGAGCTATAACCTAGAGCGGACTTATAAGTATTTACTAATAATTCCTGATTTCTCCAACTTCTATCAAACCTGAATGTACAGTACTTTCTCAGCAGCTGCATATATGTACAACAAATTGAGAAGCAGACTTGGTGATGAGACACTGGATGCAGTTATTTCTCAGATCATATTTTCTCAATTCAAATCAGAATGTTCCTATTAGATTAGTTTTCTTTATATTTAAGAAAAATGTGGCTGATTAATATTATTTTTAAATACATTTTACTAAGAAACTTACTATACTATCTACTTACTAGGTTGTTACATGAAAGACATTTATTTAGTCAATGCTAAGAGAGATTTTTGTTAATTTTCAACGTTTATTTGCATAGTTTGTTACATAAAGGTTTTTTCAAATTATGTAAGTTTAAAGAGATCTCAGTGATGCTTGAAAAAAAATAACTTTAACATGAAGACTGAGTGAGTTTAAGTCTGGTTAATCTGACTAAGTCTGATCAGTTAGAGTGATTAGATTAGCTAGGTGTATACCGTAAAATACGTTGATTTTTGTCTAAATTTGATTTGTTGATTAAAGAGCTGATTTCTGTAGGATTTTCTTATTTTTTATTAACCCTCAATACCAAAATGATCCCGGGATTGACTAAGTATAATCCAGAAACCCCAGGATTAGAAATAAGGGCTGGGATTGAATTTCCTACACCCAAACCTCTTTTATCTCCCCACCCCTTGACCTTTAATCAACAAAATTTAATAGCATTGATCTCCTAATACACAAATCCCCTTGCAAAAATTTCAGAAACTTTTGACAAGCACAGGAGCTTCAAAGAGGGTGAACAAAATCGTGCTCCCATACAAACACACACACACACACACACACAAACAAACATCTATACATATAGAAAAATTCCCCAATTTTTTTTGATTTCTTGACATTTCAAGATCCTGAGTCTAAAAATTAAGTCTTGGGCAGTTATTTTTTGAATGATCACCATTATTTCCCTTTGTTATATATATAACAGAGTTGGAAAAGTAAAAATTATATTAATTAATAAATACAGTGGCCAGAACAATAAAATTAAACAACAAAAAGGACAGAATATTCTAAACCAGTGTTGTCCAACCAAAATTGTTTACTGGGCCAAACCCAAAAATAAAAATACACCGTGGACCACACAAATTTATTTACAACAAAACATATACAACTATACAGTATTTTGTATGTATTTTAATGTGAAACTTACTTTTTAATTTTTCACTTAATTTTTTTAATATTAACAGGTATTTTTGATGTTGTACAACAGAGTTGGTTTTTTAAAATTTTTATCGATGAATCTATTACGACTTTCATATTTAACATTTTACATTTAACAATCTTCAGTTTTGAGAAAAGAGATTCACAGAGATAGATGATTCCCATTGCAGCTGTAATGCTCATTGTGTTTTTTAGGTTAGGGAATTTATCATTACAGAGATATTTTGTATAAAACTGAACTTTGTTATTGGCCTCAAACATGTATTTCAATTCAGAAGATCAATGAAGATCTATCAAATCTATCTGCAAATTTGTTGGAGCTTGTTCCACAACAATGTCAGATGTACATAAGAAAATATTAAATATATTCTCATAAATTTTTAAATATGAAAATCTTTCTCAAAATTCTCTTAGTAAATTAGTAATTTCATTTGCATATTTAGAAAAATGTTTTTTGTCACTATTAAATCTATGTAATTTTGGACAATGAATTGTAGTTTTTGATTTTAACTGACTTTCATAAAGTTTGAGTTCTGCTATGAATGATTCTATATTTTGATAACAGTCTGTGATCAATTTGTGTTCACCTTGAAGCTGCTTATTAAGTTTGTTTAATTTCATTGTGATATTTTAAGGAAACGTAAATCCAAAAGCCACTGTCCATCATATAATTTAGGAACATTCTGGTCATTTTCATTTATAAAAATTCAAATTTCTTTTCTCAATTTCAAGATGATTTGCAACGAATTGTGGGAACTTTTTAAATGGGGCAAAATTTTCAACTTGAAATAAGTTTTATATTTTTCGATTTAATTTTGTATTTAACTTTTTTATCCAATATTTGGTATTATTTTGCACCTTTTCAAAATTTCCACAACACACTTTTATCCGTTATTCTTAGCACTATATACAGTATTAGTAGCCCGGGACACCCCCTAGTGAGCGTTCCTTACAAATTCCCATGAGGCACGTTTGATCCACTTAATATATGAAAGTTTGATGCATATTATTTTGAGTTTTGAAGCACATAATATTTAAATGTTTGATGCACTTAATACAGTATATATAAATATATACAATTCTTTATCTTAAAAACTAATAAATCAATAGACAAACAGCAAACAGGATTTCTATATATCATACGGTAGGAGACACGACGCTATTAAAAATAATTATTTAGTGTTATTAAACATTCTATAAATACTTTAAAATAGTTTAATTTGTTTATTTACCTTAGCTGGTAAACCTTGATGTTAAATGTATCTGCCATTTCTTTGACAAATTTCCCGTGAGTCAATGTGAGACGTTCACTGAGTCACGGGATGTTGTAAACATGCGGCGTAAGGTTAATCAAGGCATATAATAATTATTTATACCATTCCATGGTATAAATAATAAATTCCTATTACAAATAAAAATAATTTATTGTTAATTTAAAATCTTCACTAGGGTGCCCATAGTGGGTGTTTTAGGCATACCGTTACAACTTACATGTTGATTGGCTGTAACAGAATCGGCATGCAAAAATAGATTGTTGCCAAAGAATTTAAAGGCAATTTTACTGTGCACGAGCAGTGACAAAGGCAAGTGAATCACTGCAAAATTGTGCTAAATGGAGAGCCAGCATCAAAGTGGAAGATACCAATGACACTTTTGCTCAACTGAAAGAAACTTGCCTTTTATTTTCTCAGACAAATCCTGTACTGCAATGGTTCCCAAACTTTTTTGATTCTAGGTGCCCTTGCTAAATGCAGATTTTTCCAAGGTGTCCTATGTCAAATTCTAACAAGTACATTAAATTCTAACATTATAAAACTTTTATAACATTTCGTAGTGCCCCTGTGAGAAAGCTGCAGTGCCCTGGGGTGCCGTGGCACACACTTTGGGAACCACTACCATAGTGTATTGTAAAACTGCTTGGTACTTATGGTTAATTTTGGCTAAGACTTCTTCCTTATATCTCCACTAAGTTCCCAGCAAAGAAACATTTGTGGGCTATTATTTGGCCATTGTAAGCCAGCATTTGATTGTGTCTGTTGCAGAAAGCAAATCATTTGCTGTTTTCTCCAAGTAAAATATTCTAATTTTTATACTCTTTTAATCCAACATTATAAAATTGGTAAAGCTGAAGAAGGCTAGAACAATTTGGAGGAGTTTCATTTTCCCAGCTATTATATGTACATAACAAGGAAAATTATTGAAATTGTGTCAAATTTGACCCTCCAAATTTTTTACAGATCTCTACATTTTCAGACACCCTGAATCCAAAAAAGTCAAAAACACAGGAAAAAAGGTATGTTTGTGTGTTAGCATCTATTTCATTTAATATGTCAGGTTGAAGAAATGAAATTTGGCAAGGTAGCTTTTGTGTAAGGATGCATCGATGCTATTAAATTTTGGTGGATAGCGGTTGTTGGGGTGGAGAGAGTGGGAGTGATCATCTGTCATATCTCGAGAGGAATCGGACTTAATGCGGATGTTACTTGTTAGCATTTACAATTTATGAAACTCATCTCTATCCTCAAAATTAGGCTTTTTGCCACACAATTAAATTTATTATAATTAAAAATATTAAATTGTTAATTGCAAAAATGTAAAAATTAAATGTTTATATTCTCACTCTTCCAACTGACATCTATACAGCTAATTTGCATCCATTCTGCTTCTTCAAGGATTAAATTTGGTCTTCTTTTTCTGTGTATCTCATGTCTTCTTTGTCGGCGTATATCTTTTAAGAAAAATAAATATATGCAGCTACAATACTTTTATGCTCCACTAATATAAAAATGTAATATCTTTCATAAACTGTTATAAACATAAGGACATATCAAAAAACGGTCTTTCAACACAAAATTTCAATTCAAGTTCAAGCAGCTTATTTGCTTGTTGCTATCTTGAAAAATAGAATATTCCAAAACACCATCTTTGAAAAAATTCCGATAATCTCTGAAGACAATCATTAATATGTTTACTACAGTTAGTTATTACTAGGGCCTTTATGTATATGTATATATATTAAAAATTATGGAAATATGTACATTAACATGTACTCATTTTTCTTAAAATAGTGATCTTGCAATGCATATGCCATGGAAACCANTATCCTCAAAATTAGGCTTTTTGCCACACAATTTCATTTATTATAATTAAAAATATTAACTTTCAAATTAATTTTTTTAAAAATAAAATCTCACAACCTGAGTTGTGTAACTTTTCTAGCTGTTTAGTATATAAAAATCCAGCACATTTTTATTTACAGGATGGAAATACATCATTGATGTATGCAGCATTTTGTAATCATGCTTTGTGTGTACATGAATTACTGACTGCCGGAGCCGACATCACGAAAGAAAATAACAACAAAGACACTGCATTTAACATTGCCATAAGAAGAGGCAGTAAACAGGGTAAGCATCTACATACTTTTTAAAAATAAATATACATCTAAATTACAGAGAATTATTTTGAAAGTTTATTATTTACAATTGATATTTTAACTATTTAATAATAATAATGCATATATTATTATTATTAATTAATTAAATAGTTAGTTGACTTACAAGGGAACAGCATGATGTTGGGGTCACCAATTTTATTCAAATGTGGTAAAGATATAGTGCATCCTCAATGACTGACATGTGCCAAGCAGTAAAGCACACTACTCAAACTTATAAAGTTAAAAATTGAACAATAACTTAAAACCTTTAGAATTTCTGCCATTCAGAGAGTGGCTGATGGAATGTCAGTGTGAGTTTCATTATCATAAGATTGGTGTTTTGAATCTCAATGGTATTTTTGTATTTATTAAAGTGAAAATTGTCAGAGAGGAAAACTACAAATGTACAATAAACAGGTTAGTAAAACAATAAAAACTACCTATTTCAGTATCATTTCAATGTCACAAGCAATTAAGAAATGCTACCTAACAATAATTAAAAACAAAATGTTTTCTGTATATTTAGGTACAATATCTACTTACTCTGGCAACAAAATCATTCTTTAACCTATGTGAATAATTGTGTGTTTGTTTGCAAAAGAACAAAAAGATGACTTCATAGTGTTGTGCTAATATTGATAGCATAGAAATTTATTTTGCAGAAGAATCACTGCCTACAATACAGTATTGTAAAAATTATTTTGCATTTCTGTGTATATACTTGGATCTTGTTTATTAATATACACAGAAATGTAAAACAATAAGGGGACATAGAGATAAAAAAAATTGCAAAATTATGTTTTTATGTATTGTGACAGATTAATTATTAGTAGTCAAGGGTTCTTCATCAATTTTGGAAGTTGCAAAGGCATTAGGAAAAAACATTAAATGTTCTAATATTTTCAAATGTGATATGATACACATGATTCTCCTCCAAATTAGTTGATGACAGAAGCATTTTTTAGATGTTGAGTTTGTTTTTCCAGTGACATACATTATGTAAATCTTCTTATTGTAAAAATACTGCATTTATTAAATGCACAGAAATGTTTATTGTTTCATATGCTTCTATAACAATTACCATCCACTAAATTGTATTCCCAAAGAGCAAACAGATTGAATAATGTTAATAAAAATGTCTTATAAACAAAATTATTGTTATTTAAATCTTATCATCTGCCCAAATAAATTGTAAATAAATATTACGTATGAATCTCATATGTCCATGAATATACAAAAATAATTTTTATATAAATATAACAACTTTATTCTTGTATTTTTAAACTGAAAATTATAGCACATTGCATCAATTATTGGGTATGCACTATAACCTCACTGAGTTTGATCAAAATTGGTGACCCCAGTGTCATGCTGTCCCCTCCTTAGTTATATATTATAAGATAGGTAATAAATCTTCATAAAACATTTACAAATGCTTTAGTCAGTTTTGCCCATTATTTATTGTACCCAGAATATGACTATTACATAAAGGAAATTTTGTTACAAATTTAACAGAAAAACATTAAAACTTTATCAAAAGCAAAATTAAAAAGTAAGAAATCTAAAAATTATGGAGAAAACAGATAAGAAATAATACAAGTGGAAGGTTAATCCTTGGATAGAAATTGCCAAGCTTTTGACAAAATTCCAGAAACTCCATTACTTGGATTGCTTAATTCGTATCATTTGCATCTTTCTAAAGTGAATTAATGTAGCACTTGCCTCCAATGTCTGTCATGCAAGATTAATTTTTTGGATTGAATATCTTTTTGTTTTAACTCTTTTTGGATTAATCAATAAATGCTTACATTTGAATTACTGAATATGAAACTAAAAAATTCTTTAGCCAAATAAAATGTTCTCACATTTTACTTTATTTTAAATATTTTTCTAATTACAAAAAATTACAAGTACACCCATAAAGAGATATGTAATAAACAGTTAAAATCTCAAAACTGTAAAATGCATTATATATCAGGTCACTGTGTTATCAACTGCCCTAATTATATTTGTAAAATACACTTCACACCAACGTTCAAATAAAATAAAGTAATTAACTCTTCAGTGTTGTGGCGTTACAAATTGCAACTTTTTAGATTTTAGACATACTCGCTATCACTTTTGATAGCTTATAGCTACCATCCTCAGGTGAAAAATTGAATACATTATTTTTGAATGTTTGGCTTTTGACTGGACTTTTCAAATTATCAAAGGCACGTGGATTGAATACAGAATAAACTAAAATTAAAACTGAAATATTTTCAAAAATTATAGAAACACACTGCAAATGATGTAATAAGTGAGCTGTATTTGGTTGTGGTACAAATGAGAATGTAAAAGCATAGTTTAAATTGTTTGAATAATGTTATCCACAGTTGCAGGATTTCTAAGGTCTGTGTATTGCTCGTACTGCTTGTATAAAATTGATATAATTTCCTTATATCCATCGATGCACATTTTGAAGTCATCATCTTGTAAATGCACTGCTACTTAGCTCTGGATACTCAGTATCACATGTTATATTTGCGAGAGGCTCTTCTTCTCATCACAGAAAACAATTATTTTCAATTTAATGGCAAAATATACAAACACACCCAGGGAGTGCCAATGGGTGAGAACCCATTGGCACTCCCTGGGTGTGTTTGTATATTTTGCCCTCTCACCCATTTTAGCAGAGCTCATCATGAAGAATATAGAGTATTGTATTTTCAATGCCCCTTTGACTGTCCACTATCCAATCATGTATTTAGATATGTAGATGACATATTGCTTGCATAAGATCGCAGATGAATTAGACAACTTTATTCAAATGTTAGCTTCTATATAGCCACCCATCAACTTTACAGTGGAAGAACAACAAAATACCTGAATCTCCTTTTAGATCTCAAAATACATAGATCTCCTAAACTGCTATTTTCTGTACACCATAAAAACAACAGTGTGCCACATATTATCCCTGCAACTGCTTTCCAACCCTCATATTTTGTAAATTACATCTCTCATTTGGAGAGTGCTCCTTCTCCCATCCATTCAGACAATAATAGACAAGGAATTACAATTTATTAATAAGGCGGTGCACAATGCTGGTTATTCTCCTTCTAGGTTTCGTTATCTCTATAACCATGTCAAAAACAAATTGTTTCAACAGTCTTTCCTCTGCAACAAAGAACTAAAGATAGTACAACCTCTGATACTGTTTATGGGCCCTATATTGCTAAAAATAGCATGTCTTTTTAGAAAGCATGGCTTTGCCTGTAACCCCTCAACCAACACTAAGATGAGTGTTATGTAATGATAGAGATACTCTCACATTAATTACTAAGATGAGTGTTATGTAATGATAGAGATACTCTCACATAGAGATACTCTCACATTGGGGTCTACAAAATTCTGTTAAAACATATACTATTGGGAGGAAATTATCTATGTAGGGCTACTACCAGAATGCTATGGTCCCGCATCCTGGAACATCAAGAGGATATTAGAAACAATACACCAGCAATGGAGTTATCTAAAAAGGTACCAGACCAGGAATATCAATAGGCTTACCATAATATTTTTTTCTTGAACCGGGACAATTATGAGAAAATAATCACAACAGAAAAAAGAGTTAAAAACAATTTTTAATAACTTGACTGAACTTATTATTAAGTTGTTAATATTTATTTAAAAATTCTATGCTATTTGTAATAACATCGAAATTTAATGCAATTTAAATCGGTACCTTCAAAATGTGACAATATATTTGAGGAAGTTCTTTCTGCTGCTACTAGGCTTGTCTTATGTTTAACACGTTTTAAGTGATCTTAATGTCCGAATGTCCACCACAAGTTACTGAAAATTCTGAAAAGCACACTTCACATTTCACTTTATCAATTCAATATGACCATAAACTTTTTCAAAAACTTTTTTAATTCATCAGTAAACACACGGTTTCTTTAGGCATTTTGGAGATTAAATTAATTTAATGCAAAATACAAAATAATTGAAAATGCAGACTAGCAACTCAAACTCGACTAAGATAGGACATACAGAACAATGACATGCCAGTGTAAATTTGAGTGTTGCCAACTCTAATTGAAGTGACATATCTAAAAAATGAAATAAAAACATCTGGATCTCAGGCTACCTGCTATTATAAATTCTGTGAAAAAATATCTAGAAGAATTTAGATATTTTATTTTTTAATTAGGCCACATGCTATAGATTTTGGGAGAAAACATCTAGACAACATTAAAAGTACATAGATTTAGATACACTCACTGTTGCCAATCTAAATATTTTGTAACAGAGGAGACATTTTAGTTGCCAAATTGCCATTTTACTGGAGGCTGCACTATTTTAACTTATTGGATATTCGGTGCTTTTAAAATTTTACCAAATAACCAAAACAAAATGACAAACTGGCCAGGATGCAGGGACCACATCATCAAACCGGGACATCTAGTAAGCCTAGATACTACCGCTTTGGGCACACACTAAATTACTTAAGTAGTGCAATGATCGAAGAGAGTTATTTATATGGGGGAACCTCTATATATCCGTTGTAACACTGTGCAGTACACCGACCTTAGAAATCCCACAACTGTGGATAACATTATTCAAACAATTTAAATTATGATTTTACATTCTCATTTCTACCACAACCAAATACAGCTCGCTTAATTGCTTTTTAAATATTTTTAAGGATATTATATTATTTGCAGCATGTTTCTATAATTTTTGAAAATATTTCAGTTTTAATTTTAGTTTTTTCTGTATTCCATCCACGTGCCTTTGATAATTTGAAAAGTCCATTCAAAGCCAAACATTCGATTCTAATTATATTATTCTACATTTATTACTTTGTGTTTTACTGCTATTGGAGGTATTAAACCCAATGTCTCAAACTCCACTTCCTCCCCTCTCCCGAAGTGTCTTATGTCCAGTAAGCATCAACAGTATCCCAGTGAATCAGTGTTAAAAACTCAA